ACGAATCATCATAGTGAGGTTAGAAAGATAGAGTCGTCTTGAACTTCTGTATCCAGCAGATGAGAAGGATAGATGTAGGCTCTATTATTTATAGAAACACTCGATCTATTGCTTTTAGATAGACTATTGGTGGTTTAGCATACCCTGCCCTGATCTTCACACTATGTGAACAGGCAGAAGTTGATTTTAGAGTGGATGAGGAGAGGATTGAACCTCTCCTATTGGGCCTACCAATATAAAAATATAAAAATATATGAATCTCATGTTGGATGGAGATCTGGAAGTAGGACCAGTATTCCTTATACTTCAAGTACTACTTCTAGTACCCCTAATATCGAGGAACTTATGCAGCAGATGATGATCCAACACAGAGATATCCTGAGAATGGAGAGTAGAATGAAAAATATGGAGGCCAAAAATGCTCACAATGATGATTTGATAAGACAAAAGTTTGAATATGATGTTGTTTGTGATGATGTGATGGTCAAATACATGAGGGGTGATCACTCAGTTCAGTTTCCTACTCACCCTGTTTTTACCCCATATCAACAGCAAAATTTGGATCTGGAAGAAGAAGAAGAAGATGATGATGATTGGTGATGTTTTAGTTAGATTTTTGTTTACTTTATGTTTGGTTGTACTTTATTATTGAGACTGTTTATTTTTAGAGTGTAACACTTTGTTTTAAATGTTATGGTTGTGAATTGTAGAATTATAAAACTGTTTATTATTTCAAAGTCAATTTAGTTTTGTTGTTAGTTGTTAGTATTTTGTTAAATGTATTGTAATTAATTCTTTCTCAGCATATTTTATATGTATTATGTGTTATTTAATGCTTTAAGTCTTGTAGCTTTTCATATTAGCACCTGCAATATTTCAAAATTAAGTTTCAAAATCAGAACCTTCAACAGGTAAGTTATTTTTTTATGTATTAAAAGTTTTCTTTCACCCTTTATTTTTTCAGTTCGTCATGATAAATCTTTTAAAAATTTAAGTTTGGGGGGAAAGAAAAATTCCTTTTTAAAGGAAAGAAACTTAATTTTATTTGTCTTCAATTAGTTATATTTTCAAAGTATTTTAAAATTTAACATGACCTTTGGTATTAGTGTGTAACTTTAGATAACTACTATATTTATGTTTCTAAATATATAGTAAACTTAAGTAAAAAATTTTTAATAATAAAGGTTAATTTTAGATAATAAGATATTTGGTATGATAGAATGAAACTATGCTTTTCTATTGTAAGTAAAGGAATTTGTATTTTTAAAGTATTAAAAATCTTAGAGATTCATATAAAGAGAAAGAATAAGACTTTATGAAAAATCTTTAAAGCTAATATAAATTTATAAAGTGAAGGAATGTAAAAAGTTTTTAACTTTAAGAAGAGGATGGTGAAGTTCATAATCATTAAAGGCTATCCAGATATAGTAATCCTCACATAAAAAAAAAGAAAAGAAAAGAAAAGAAAAGAAAAAGGATTAAAAATGATTCTGAAAAAGAAAAGAGAAAGAAAAGAAAAAGATGTGAGGAGAAGTTTGAGGAGGTGCATAATTAAAAATTGGCTTCACTTGAATCAACTTAAAGAAGATGGCTTGGCTACATTTTCTAAACTTATATTTCAATATTAGCATATTTACTAGTAAATTTTTATGTTCTTTTTCATATGGATATTCTAAGTGGCTTTAATATGAATAATTTGCAATTTTCCTTGAAAAGAATAGAGAATCAGAAATCTTGGACTTGACTGCTAGATATTCTTATACCTTTAGTATTAACTGGAGTTATTTTACATTTTTCTTAAGTTATGTTATTGTATTTAGTGGACTAAAATAGAGAAATCTAGAAGATAAAATCTTTGTCATTAGTCATATTTTTATGTAGTAAAAGAGTTACTTGAGGACAAGTAACATTTAAGTTTGGGGGATTTTAATACACAAAAAATATATGCATTTTTAAATTCATATTTTATACTCATTTTTGGTGATATTGCACTTTAAAGGAAGATATTTTTCATGTTTTTTGCAGCTTGTTTATTTTTAGGACTTGGAGCTGATTTTTAGGACTTAAAAAAAAACAAAAAGGATGAAATTTGGAGTTAAAATGGAGTTTTTGAAAAATTATTCAGCGCCCACCGCGTCGTTTGATAAGAACACAAATTAAATTAAATGGCCACTGGCGTCGATGACAGAAGTGTCGGTGTAGACCCTGTTTCTAGAAGATTAGATGAATTTGGACGTTTTTTTAAGAGTTTTTGGATGCGCTTACTGGAAAACCGACCTTAGGCTCTATTTAGAGACGAAATTGATCAGAAAAGACCCCCTTCGCATCTCTTCGCACTCCTCTGCTCGCTCTTGGTCTTTCTTCGCCCCCCTTTTGTGCCACTTTGCATCCTTCCACGCCATTCCACACCATTAGTCATTTATTTTCTTTATAGTTTTGAGTTTTTGTGGTGAGTTTAAGTGTGAATTATTCTCTAAGAGTGTTGGAGAGGGAGAGAAGTGAGAAATTTCTTCTTCCTACATTTTAAGAGATTTGCTTTGAGAAAGAGTTTCAGATAAGTGTTGTTTGTTAATTATTGTTGTATGAACTTCCTTTTATATATAAAGTTTGTGTTTGTTAAAATATAAAATAAATTGTGATGGTTTTTTAACTCCGCTCTTAATTTACTTTTCGATCTGGTTAATTGAATTGTTAAAATATATTGTGAAACATATGATCCAGGAAATGGAGTATGAGTTCTACAACAGAGTGAGAATCACATTTAAGTCCATGAATGAGTATTTCGTTCATGGAATTAAGTGCAAATAAATAGGAAAATATACTTTGTTGGGTGTAGAATTAGAAATTTTTAGGGTGACAAATTAGAATCCCCAATTCGATCTTAGAGTTTAAGAACTAAAGCGAGAGTTAGCCTTCAAGGGAAGGGAAGTGGGAGCCAGTATCCTCCTAGCCTAGCCACGGATTTAGTGACTAAACCTAAGATTAGCCAATGATTTTCTATAATACTGAATTAGGATAAAGAATTAAAATTACTTCTATTTGGCACAATACATGTTTAAACCAATTATCTCATCTCATTTCACCAAAAACTCATTATCCTGGGAAAGATGTCTTAAACCAATTATCTCATCTCATTTCACAAAAAACTCATTATCCTGGGAAAGATGTTTTTTCTTATTAGAAAACTTCATGACATAAATACAGTTTAGTAGTTATTATTTTAAACTTTGCATTAAAATTTTGCTAGTAGTTAATAATGTAGTTTTGATAGTATCTCAAACATTCGAAATTCGTGACAGTAATTTCATTTTATTTCTGTAAATTTTCTAGTTAATATATCATTTCAAATTTAAACCTTCATCGTGGGATCGATATTTGGGACTTAAATAGAAAGTCTTATAGTACTTGATAATGATATGTATACTTGCATAGAATCCCAACATTAAGTGTTTAACGTTATTATTCATAAAATACCACATCAAGTTTTTGGCATCGTTGTAAAGCGGAGTCAACTTTATAAAATTTACACAACTATATTTCCTCTTGATCAACTAATCAGCCACAGACTCCCAATCACGCGAAGTTGATCCCAAATAGGCAACTCTAGCTTAGGAGGTCGAACTTTAGAGGCTAATCTAAGGGATTGATAACAAATGTCCAACTATAAGAGGTCAAATATGAAATCATGAGTATAAGTCTTACCAATATTATCAAATAAGTAAACAAGAAAAAGATCTCTATAAGACCCCAACCTTTCGGTGGGCAAATAACTAAATTAGACCCTTATATGTCTGAAAGGCTAAAGATGATATAGGTTAAATGTGTCATTTGGTAAAGGCCAATCCCTATTAATGGATATTAATTGTAAACAAGACATATAACTCTATCATATAGAAATCTAGAGGAAAATCTATCAATCCCTCTCATTCTGTTTATTATGAGTTCAACATGTGACTAGGTGAATGACACAATCAAAAGAGAAATTATGTGATGATGAATTCAAAATTGTGTGTGGGACACACCCAATGAATAGAGCGTGAGATGAGAATGGAAAGGGAAATTGAGGGAGAGATGATTTCACTATTGGAGCTATATTCTCTCAAATGGAAAGCACACAACCATCTATAATAAATGCTTCATCTTTATGTAGGATTAAAAAAAAATAACATTACACATTTTTCCTATCTAGATGGGATTTACACTAAATATTTTAGGTATATTATAAGTGATGACTCATCATCTGATCATTTTTTGGCTTGATCATCCCAGCTCGATCGACTAAGCTTGCTTGACTCAACTCGGCTAATTATCATAGTTGGTAGGGCTCAATCGGCTCGGCTTGGTTGGCCAAGTTTAGTCGGCTCAGCTTGGTTGATTGTCTTGGTCGATAGGGTTTGATTAGCTCATCTCTATTGCTTGAAAGCTCGGTTGACCGACTGTCTTGGTCGGTAGGGTTTGAACAGCTCAGCTCGATTGATCGAGCTTGGTCAGCTCAAAGATTTTATTTTTGGCGAGAAGTCTTCTGGACCTCACCAGATGATCAAAGATACCTTGTGGAACGAGCCCTTCCCTCAGGTGGACTTTCCTATGGGATAAGCTTCCTTACTAAGTGTGCTTTCCCTTGGTTGAAGATTCAAACATCCTGTTGGTGAGCTTCCAGGTGAGTTGCTTGGTTGGTATCGGTTTGTCACCCTCATGTCAGTTTTTGACTAGGTTAGCTTGGCTCAACTAGCTCGACGACTTCCACAATATCCTTGCAGGAGATCTACATTCATCTTGCTTTCTTGTTGAGGACTGTTGGATCCCTATGAGCTCCACACAAGTATTTTTTTGATATACTTGTGTGATAAAAAAAAAAATTAGAGAGCCACTCAGAGTCATAAATGCATAACCCACAAAATGAATATACTACCAGGAGTATTCACTTCTTCCTTGGTTGGGTGAGGGTAAATAATAACTTTTAGATAAGTACCTGAATCGCGTGTTTGTTTAAAGCAATTTTTTTCCGTAATTGAAAATCATGTCGACGCTAGCGGCGAAGGGCACTTCTGGTGCCAGTATCGCGTCGCCGTCTTTCTTCAAGCAGCGGGGCCGGTTGTTTTCTTCGCACCTCTCCATCCGCAGCCGGATCTCCTCCTTACCTAATCCTCCTCCCCGGCTTCTCTCAAGAGGCAACCGGCGGCAGCCCCCGGCAACTGAGCAGCCGCCCCACCCCGAGGGCCCCCCCCCCCGACACCGGGCCCGCCGCTCGACGACGAGCGGCGGAACAGGACCTTTCTCGTCGATGCTTTCCATCAGAGGCGAAGCCTCAAGGTCTTGCTAGACGAACTATCCAGAAGTGGTTCTTGCCCCCTTCGAATCCTCGCTAGAGATGGAGACTGGCCCTTTGAAAAACTCCGAGTCGTCATCGCCTTCCTGGCCGACACCGGTCGGATCACTGAGGCTCTTCAGGTTTTTCTTTTAAATTTATTTTTCCAGTCTTAGGGGCTGTTTGGAAAAGGATTTATTAAAGTTTTGTAAATCCAGATTCATTGAATCCGTAAACCCGGGATTGAAGGCAAAACTGGGAAATATTTAGAGAAAACTGGGCTTTCTATATCTAGAATTTAAATGGTATTGTTATTTTTGTCCGACAATATTTAAATTAAATTCAACTTATATCTGGTGCTAGACAGCCTCTTAGTTTATATTAATGCTCTTGTTTATGCATCTCAGGTCTATAGAAATGAAGAGAAGAGAACAAAAGTAAAATAAATCAGATAAATTTATGTGATTTGGTGAGATGTTATACATATGTTCCTAACTACATAGAGATCAAATGTTCTACATGTACATAAAAAATGTGTGAACCCTGACCCTGAGAAGATTTAAAGGTTGAGAAGGAAAAAGTACGAGAAAGGAGGGCTCACCAACCAAAGATTATGAGGTCCATTTGCCGACTTCGAGTTAAAGTCGGCAAGGTCAAAGCTGACCAAGTCACGAGTAGGATAAAAAGACGACCAAGTGACATGAGCTCGAATCATCCAGACAAAAACGAAACAGAAGGATATCAGAGCCAACTATCACAGGAGAGCCGATCCAAGGAAGATTTGATTCCCTAGCATCTACAACCATCCCAAGAACGCCCAAAGACACCTCATTAAGAGATAAGGATTGATAGCCAAGCCACATCAAACACCGACCCGTGTCGAATAAGCTCGGCCGATCGAGTGGAATTTAGTCGACTGAGCGGATCCCAATCGATTGAGCTGAGCTTGCCGACATGAAGCTAATTAAACTTAGCCGAGCAGCCAGATGTGAGCTCATACATGTAAAGTATCATAAATACCCAGTAAAATCCCCTTTAAAGTATGGGTAAAAACATACATCATCATATTATACACTATTCTCTGTAAATAAAGAGATTATTTCATGCATAAAAGACACGATTTATTATTGTTCACTCCTCTCTCTGTCTCTCTTTCTCTCCTTATTTGTGTTTTATTCTTCGTGTGTGATTCACAGACAAATCGAGAGTCGTTATTTTGAAAGTACGGTAAGCGTGGATAATGCCATAAATAAAAAGAGAAGTAGCCCAAGTAGAAGAAACCAACAACAGATACACTGACATCATTTAGTGCACCAAAGAGTTTGTAACTCCAGATCTAGGTGTTAAAGGATCAAATATTGGATGTCATCCAAGACAAACTTTCTCGATGAAAAGAACACCACCCCTAAGGGAAAGGATCAGCACCCAACGACAGAAGAGTCCCCTCGACCTTAGAAAGAGAAGGCGACTCCCAGTTCTTCAATAGTGCTAGGTTAGCACCGATTAGCCGACATCGGTTCGGGCGTACTAAGGTGCCCTGATAGCCTGAGAATGCATTCTCTCGACAAATCTCTGTAGCCGAGCCCAAAAGAGATTCAAGATCTAGGCACTAGAGTCCTACAAGGGGAGCACCAATACGACCGACCATTTAGCCTTGTTTGAGTCAACCGTGTGTTTGTTGAGGATCACTAACAATCTGAAATGTCATATTTGCTTTACCATGCTGAGGGAGTCGACTCAAGTGGTTTTATGGACATGAGTAATCAAATTGTTTGTTGATTTCAAGAGGATGTTTGTGGCACAGTTTGTTTGCACCCATAAGCCTTAGAAAACTCACAGGTTTTCCTACAAATTTACTAGGGACATAGCAAGAGCCTTCTCACATTCATCACATGTTTCCAAAAGGAGATGTTGGAAGTGCAAAATTTAGAACTCGCAGTCGCACATGCTGCCCTAGCTTACGGGATGAGAAAGGACCTCTCTGATATGCATTGGGTCTACAATGACTGAAGATGCTAGCCGAGTTGTTGGAGTTGACCGACAACCACATATCGGTCGAGGAGTATAACTCTAACCCGCTTCCTCCAGAGCAGCGTGCACTCGTCGCCCGCAGAATAGGACCCCCCCAAGGTGAGGGATGGAGACCGAAACATGATTTACGTCTTTTCATCCATTTTTGATATGAGACACTTTGTCGCCCGGGACCACAAAGCAACCGATATAACATACCACCGAAGTCAGACCCGATATCCTGACCAGCTGCCGACTTGGTATGACGAGTGCCTGCTACCTAACCACAAGTGCCCAAACAATGATCAAGTAAAGTTTTTTTTTTAATTGTACATACAATCTCAAGTCTGACCAACTTTCAGGAAAATTGAGAAGTTTATGTAACAGATCGACAAAGTCTGGTTGACATTCGAGGAACTTGAACTTACTCGTTGGCAGTGTTTCCTTCTAAGCTGCAAAATTGACAGCGATGAGTAATGTTTGACTGATAATTTTTTTTTAAAATCTGACAACAATAAATAACGTCCGGTCGGTAAATCACACTAGATCCGACCCACAACGCTCATGCATCATAAAAACTCATTTCTAGCTCGACATGGGTCAAGCTCTTGTGGTGATTTCCTACCCATTAGTGCAAGATTTGCGATGGGTAGCATATGAATAATCGTAGCAGCAAATCTCAACGGGTACTCCTATGAAAACTGCGGTAAGATCATCTTAATCTATCTGGCGTAAGGTGCAGCCTATTCAAGGCAAAGACCCTAATCAAGCGACCGACATGGGAAGTATAAAACTTGAGTCGGGTCATAACTCAAAAAATCTACCAAAAGCATTCGTAACATCATTGACTCATCAATCATTACAACCGAGCATTTATCACAAAAGAAATAAAATACACAATAAAGGTAAATAGCAAAAACAAAGGTGAAACCGATTTAAAACCTTACTTTCATTCATGATTGAAAATTTCAAACTTTCTAACATCTCTTTATGTGTTCTAAAAAGAAAAAGAGAAAATTTTTTGAACTAAAGGGAAGGGTTGAATATAGATAACACGTTTGCGACCCACCGTCATCCCTCATCACTCACTTCCTCCTCCAAATCCGAAACAACGTAGCAAACTTCTCAATGTCGGTCAATTTTGGAGAGACCAACTTTGCATTCGCTAGGCTCTCGATGATAAAGTCCCATCCTTGAACTTCCGATAAGGAGAGCCAATTGAGTCGGGTGGGAGGAGAGCTCGACAAAAAAATCGTTAGAATTTTTCATCATTGCCATCTTCTTCATGGCTCGGTTTTCCTCTCGGGTGGCCGATAACAACTCTAACTGTATGAATACCTCAGCTTTAGCTACTTTTGCCTTTTCCTCAGCTGCTGCCAACTTCTCCCTGATCTTCAATCTTTTTTGATGTTTCTGAAGAAGGATGGTCAACTAGAGATGAAAAGCTACCCAGGCCATCAACTGATATTTATTGATTGTTTGAAACAAAACGAGCATACTTTGCTCCAGGAGGGCTTCTTCATAGGTGGGAGACCGGATGACGTCGACTATTGATGAAGGTATTGAGATGTCGTCGGGAAACCAGAGTACTCGTCCTTCTGAAGTTCAATCAGCGTGAACCTATCGTCCGAGCAAGTGCTCACCTTTGCCTTCGCATCCTACATCGAAATCCACCTGAATGGGGATCCCCTTCATTTTTTCCGACACTAGGGAAAAGGTAAGTTGCTTGAATTAGCTGCAAGAGCTTTTCCCTCACAACACACCCCTTCGTGACCGCTAGGCTAGCCTCCTCTTTGGCAGATCAACCCAAGCCGACCGGAGAAGGGTGGCTTGCTTCATTCCTGGTAGATAGATCGATGAATGTTGGAGTGACCGATCTAGGGATGGCAAATGTTGTTTCTTATCTTTCAATTGAAGCCTCCCCCTCACGATGGCTCGACTCTGCTAGACTAGTCGTTATCTCATCCTTTCGATGCTAAGCCCATGAAGGACTTGCAACTGACGGAGCACTCTTAGTAGGTGCGAAAAATGTGGTCCTCTCAATGAGGATTAGCTTGTATGTGGCAATTCTTTGAAAAATAACTGTTGTATCACAGACAAAATAAACCATTTCCACACCTTCCAAGCCCACTTTAGCAGTCTCAGGGTGAGTCGTCTCTGGGCGAGCAATTTCAGAATGGGTGGTAGCGCGTTCCTTCTTTTTGGTCGCTCAAGTAACAACTATTACCACCCTCTAGGCCTCTTGAGCGTCGAAGGCAACAACTGCCTGAGCAACCAACTTGGCAGTTTTTGGATCGAGATATTGATCGATCGACAGTTGACGCCCTTCGACTTCCATAGCTTTCATCAACACTCTGTTCGACACTCTCTTCTTTGCCTTTGTTGGAGCACTGCCAAACGGGACAGTCTAGATGTACCGCCCCTTAGAGCAAGAGCCAAAGCAGAAATGGGGCTTCCAGTCCTTCACTTTAATTTTCAGCGCCAACGATTGGAATTTGCCAACGGAGGCAAACTGAACAAATCCGCCCGGGCTGACCTGAAATGAGAACAAGTAACTGAAGAGCTTGATCGACCATGAATTCCTCGGTTGACGACAAAAGCTGATGAAGTTAACAATGGCCACTATGGAGTTGGGCAATATCTGGGCAGGAATGATTCCATAGTGGGTGAAGATGACTCGCAACTCTCGACAAAAAAGGTAGTCTTAAGACGAAGCAAAATTTATCCTTGTTGGAGATAAGGTCGGCACCATACAAAGTGGTCGCTTGGTCATCCTTGCTAGCGATCCAAGGCCTAATGATGTGATCGAAGACACAGATCTATTGCAACCAATCCACTCCTTTGAAGTCACCCACAATTGGTCTTTTGATGCGACCGACTCGAAGAACTTCGGAGAATATTTTGGAGCCGTCTAACAGAGTGTAAACATAAGACTGAGAGAAAGGTGAGAAGTGAGAAGAAAAAAGCTAGAGTAAAGCATAATGCCATTGACCCGCACCCTTTATATATGGGGAAACAGAGGAACCATTGGCCAGGATTAAAAACAAAACTCTCCATTAATTTAAAAATGCGCTGAAAAAGTGATCACATCAATACAAAAAATAAAACTGGAAAATAAATTTATTTCAAAATATAATTTAAAATTAGAAAGGGCACGCAGAAATTAGGTTGAGATAAAATAGTTTACTACGGGTTGGTCATCGCTTCAACTGAGACATATCCCAACCGAAACATCCTCTTATACAAAATTTTTCCCTCAGTCCTAAACTAATTTAGTTGGTCTGTCCCGACCAGAATTCGATGTATGGAGGACCTCTCCTGGACGTTTTGCACTTCCTGGCACCATTTTTCTCCACACAAGCCAACAACTCGTGCATCTCATGCCTTTGCTGGATCCTTGCTTACCGAGCAAAGGAGTTCTTGATCTTGTGTAGGCGGCGAGCCAGTGATCCAAGTGACGTCTGATGCCTATTAGTTGCATCCTCGTGGTTCTCGAGTGGATTGTCTGGGCGATCAATTCCTCCATCCTCGTTCGAGTGTCGGCCGCCCTTGTATGGCGTCTATTTTGTTGCCACTAACACTTCGATTAGATTCTTGCTGATACCATTCAGGACTCGATCCTCGCCCGAATCTCTCAAGGCCAAGTCATCTGCACTAAGAGGCAATATAAAGAAAAATGATTTAAGAAAAAATCAAGATCTAATAAATGAGATCGAGGCTCCTCATATAAAGGAGTCGATCCAACTCAGACGTTGTAATTGACATAGTGCTCTTACCCTGCAACACAAAGCACCAACAATTTCTTGCGCGGCCAGTTCGATCGGTAGGTCTTGTATCACAATAGATGGTTGGACCGACGGATCGATGGTTGGACTTCTCGGCTAAGCATTCCTCCGCTTTGTGTCTAGGAACGAACAAACGACCATATCTAATCCGGCAACACAATCACTTTCATCTTCTCTATGACGACTTTCTTCCTCCTTTCACCTTCCAGGTGTTACGCTCCTTCAATTTCGCAAAGGAAACATGAATAATATATTTGTTGGGGATATTACTCAAGGGATTTGTCAGGTTCTCTATTACAACACTCTGAAGCCGATCGATTCAAACGAGAGGGTTTGCGGAGCAAATAAGGAATGGGAAGGAGTCCTGTCTGCCTTCTTTATAAGAATAAAAAACACGGAAGTCAAGGGAGTTCAATTATTGAATCTTTGATTAATAATAAACGCGATCTAATTTTTGCATTAAATTCTCATATTCTTATCACAACGTCGCTTTCAAGAAGTAAAAGAACCGGGGAACAATAATATGTACATAAAAAATGTACCAGCGTTGTTCCTGAGGAGATCTGACAGTTCAGAAGAAAAGAGTACGACGAAGGAGGGCTTACCAACAAATGCCCATGAGGTTCATTTGGCCGACTGAGCCAAGACAATGATGAAAAGATGACCAAATGATATCCTAGCCTGAACCATTCAATCAGAATGAGACAAATTGATATTTGAGCCAACTATCACAAGAGGGCCTATCTAAGGAAGATTCATTTCCCTAGCATCTTCATCCATCCCAAGAATGCCTAAAGGCTCCTAATTAGGAGTCAAGGACTGACAGTCATATCACATCAACCGACCGACCCGTATCGAACAAGTTAAGTTAATTAAGTGGATCTCAGTCGACCAAGTGGATCCCAACCGACCGAGCTAAGCTTGCCGACCTGTAGCCAATTAAGCTTAGCCGACCGAGCTAGAATGCATCCGAACAATAAACTCAAACATATAAAATATCATAAATACCCAGTAAGCCCTCTTTAAAGTAGAGGCAAAAATGCAACCTCATCATATTGTACCCCATCCCTTATAAATAGGGAGATTATTTTATGAAAAAGACATGACATATTATTGTTCATTACTGTTCACTCCTCTCTCTATCTCTCCCTTTCTTCTTATTTACGCTATATTTATTGGGTCTGATTCACAGACAAATCATGATTCAATACTACAAACTTTTAGAAAGTTGTGCATATGGTCTTTATATTATATAAAGTGGAAGATAAGGATAGACTTGCTACTTTATTTATGTCAGTGGCCAAGAGATAATCGAATCAATTGCTGCCATGAAAAATGATTCAAAGTTTAAATGATGGGGCATTTACATACCGCACAATTCCTATGTATTTACGTATTTAAGACCTAAATTTTGTTTTCCACAGTATTTCCACTCAAATCTTTTATATCACATAAAAGTACCATCATATTAACTTTAACAAAATGAAATATAATTTTTCATGCATGGGTAAAGATGGTATGTATGTAAAATTTGAAGTTCTTAGTGTTAGATATGTAAATTATATGAATTCAGGGATATGCATGTAAATCTTCGAAAAGGCATACATTGTTGATGCTGCTATTACTTTATTCTATCATCCATTATGGCTGATATGGCCGAAAGGCATTTTTGCTATTACTTTATTCTATCATCCATTATGGCTGATATGGCCGAAAAGCATTTTTTTTTAATTGAATCAAAACTAGAAGAACCTCTTCATTCTTAAAGAAGCAAAAAACTCTCTTTTATGCAACTCCTCTCCCATCTCTCCCTCTTCCCTCTATTTGTTTATGATTGTGCAATGCCAAACCTTTTATCCTAATGCTTTATTTATAATGGCAACAAAAACTGAGTTTGATCACACAAATTGTATTATATGATCCCATAAGATATTACAAGATCTTTTAAAATTAATAAAAACTCTATTACATCTCTGATGAAACATACAATATTTATTATTATCAAACTACTAATGAGGTGCGCTTAAGTCACCTAGGCTAGTCGAGTTTATGAAGAACATGTGCTGGCGAATGACGAAAAGTCGAGGAGCTCCAATGCTCCACAAGTATGCTCTTGAAAGACTAGCCTTCTTTGTTTAAGACACCCTTCTTTTATTATATTTTACCTTTTCATAAGCTTTTTTTCTTCATGTGTGTCTTTGCTATCATGTTTCTACTTTTGTCATTCTAAATGTCAAAAATTGGTTGTTACAAGTTGTAAAACCTTATGGGCTTTAGCGGTTACTTGCATTAATAGCTTCCCTTTTGTTCAAAAAAATCAGGATGTTATACATCTTAATGGTTGTCCCCATAGGTTCTTATGTAAATACTTTCCTCTTAGCTTAGAAGAAGAAAAAAACATGGGCATCATTTAGGTGCAAGAAGAAAGGACTTTGGGTTTGAGTTCATCATATTAGGTTCGTTGTATTATAGGCGACTCAAGATGCATTGTTGATGTGGTTCTATCAATCTTGCTCGGTTTCTAAGGTGGCCTTCAAGCTTTATGTGAAATTGAAACCAAATTCTATTCAAATTAGGGTTTTTATTGCTGTGGGAACACATTTAAGTTCAAAATCCATGAAAATTTTCATTAATCTCCCTGATCACAAAGATTTTAGAAACATAGGCTAGATTTTTGGCCTCTCTCGACGTCATATGAACTTGAAAATATGTTTGAGGACATGTCTTGGAAATGGGGGGAAATTGATGATTCGCATGTCATATAACGTGGAAGGATTTGTGCTTTAGGGGGCAGTGGCATTGTGGGGTAAGTGGGGCAACGTGGGCTGTGAAAGAAAGATTATTTAAACAAACAAAAAATAAGATAGTTACCTAAATAGCACTTGAAACATTACTATTTGCAAAACAAGCACTGGGATGATTTTTTTTTAACAACCGAACCAATGCATTTACACGTGCTCCGATCAAACCATTGAGAATTTGATGAAAATAAAAAGTTTGGTTGAGGTTTTATGATGAATTTTGATCTTTGAGTGAGAAGTTAAAAAATAGAAGAAATATGAAGAGTTTGCTAGATTTGTAAATAACAATGTTTCAAGTGCTATGTATGTATTTGCCTCCAATTAAATGAAGAAGAAATTTTCATATTACAATTGGTTTATGCATAGATTTCATGGATTGTGCATGGGGCATTCACATACATTCCACATAATTCTTATGTATTTTCATATCTAATATCCTTACCACTCAAATCCTTGACATCATATTTAAAATGCCACAATCGCCATCTTCTTACCAGTGAAATACAACTTTTTATGGATATGTTTATGGCATCAATGTGTTATGAGTGTAAATATCAAATTTTGGGTATTAGATATGTAAGTATAAGAATTGTGTGGAATGTATGTAAATTTCTCGTTGTACGATGATAGATATTTGAAGTAAATGATTAATATAGCAATTGGGCATTCCTTTACATCTGAAACATCTAAGATAATGCCGAAACATCTAAACTATTGCTTATAAATCTAGATTTTAGGATTTAGTTAGAGTTCTGATAGCCAATTAGATTTGTTTTGTCCATTTTAATTTGATTCTTTTCTTTTATAACTCCCTGTCTTTATAATCTTTGTAGCATGGCAACACAACAAAACTTGCTTAATCAGGCCTTATTGGTGGATTAATGCAAGAGGTCATAAAATGAGGCAGAACCTTTGCCCAATAACTGAACTCAAGCTATTTCTCAGAGTATATTATATTTTTAGTAATTTGTGGCTAAATTTGCTGAATTCTATTAATAGATAGAAGCCCTTGTAGCTATAATTTTTGGCACTTGTTATGGAAGGACCCTCCAAATCTGTTTCAGTGAAATGTAAATAATGATTTTTATAATGTTCGACTGTTAGAGCCTCTCATCATTTTACTTTCCTTTCATTTTTTGCCAAGCATGTTTTTTTTTAACTACTTAAAAATACCCCCAATTCCTATATATTTACATATCTAACACTGAAACTTTAATTTTTTACATTTATACGACGCAAATCTTTCATATCACTTCAAAAGTACCACCTTTTCATCTTTTAAAAAGTATTATGCACCTTTTCATACATAGTTAAGATGACATGTATGTAAAAATTGAAATTTTGGTCTTAGATATGTAAGTACATAAACATTGAGTGGCATTTATGTTGTTCTTCCTTTTTATTTATGCTGTTTTATTTTCACCAGATTTTTTATCAATGGAAGGGCATGGAAAAATCACGCGCCAGTGCCATTAACTACTCCAAAATCATTACATTACTCTGTGAAAAGGATCTAATAGACAAAGCAATGTTACTCTTTCAAGAAATGGAGAAACTTGAATTCACCCCCTCTGTTGCAATTTACAATGCTGTAATTCATGGATTTGCGCGGATTAAAGAATTTAACAAATCTAAAACCCTTTTGTGCAAAATGGTGGAGGATGGTTTGTCCCCAATTCCTGATTACTTACAACATATTGATTCAGGAGTTTTCTCGTGGTCGACTTATTGAAAAAATGGAGAAGTTTTATAGAATTTTACTCTCTAAACGAATGAATTTGCAAATATGCACATTAATCGCCATGCTTGAGGCTTATTCAGACTTGGGAATTCTCGAAAAAATGGAGAAGATGTATGCCAAGGTTTTGAATGCAAACGTCTACATTAAAGATTATCTTATCAGAAAAATGGCGAATGTGTACATTCAGCATTGTAGATTTCCTCGGTTAGACGAATTTGGGAATGAAATAGGATCGAAAAATGGCAGAACTGAACTGGTTTGGTGCATCCTTCTCCTTTCTGCGGTCGGACTTTCAAGCAAAAGGGGCATAAATTCAATCAAACAAGAAATGGTGAGAGGGAAGGTAAGATTGAGCACAACATTTACTAGTATTTTTGCATTGTTTTATCTGAAGATGAGGGATTTCAAGGCTTTGAATGCTGTTTTCTCTGAAGCTATGAAACAAAGAGTTGAACCTGATATAATAATGGTTGGTATCCTCTTTGATGCATGTTCTGTTGGGTATAATTGTAAATATGTGTTAGAAAAATGGAGAAGCTATGGTTGGCTTGAAGAAACAGCAGAAATGAGGACTGATCCTCTGGTTATGTCTGCTTTTGGGAAGGGGAGTTTCATATTGAAGTGTGAGGAGGTTTACACCTCTCTTGGATCTAAAGCTAAGGAGAAAAAAATATGGAAATATGATGATCTAATTAAATTGTTTTTTGTGTGAATATCAAATTAAAGGCTATTATTTGGTTTCTTTATCAAGATGGTCTCTCATATATATATATATGAGTAGCAGGGGTGGTTGATGACCAATAAGGCTTCATTATTACGGAAAAATTTTCTATCCGGACTCTGTAGCTCTACAGACCAATAAGGCTTCATTATTACGGAAAAATTTTCTTTCCGGACTCTGGCCGTAGCTCTACGTGGTTTCTTTATCAAGATGGTCTCTCATATATATATGAGTAGCAGGGGTGGTTGATGACCAATAAGGCTTCATTATTACGGAAAAATTTTCTATCCGGACTCTGTAGCTCTACATGCGGACTCCCGATAATATACCGTCGTGTGTGCCCATAGGTGATTACACTATATATAAACAATAAGCATGATATAGTAAGGAGCGTATCACATTTATAAAACATAGCATCGTTCGACTATAAGGCGAATTGATGAAGTCGCCGTAATTTGTTAACTTGTTGTGTTGACTAAGCAAACTATTTTAGCATAATAAGTTGTCTTGAATTGATATATCGTATTATCTGGTTGAGTTGGTTAAAGTTGGTTGAGCGAGTTGATGAGTTCTGTCAAATTGGTGAAATTCAATTGACATATTGTGCTCTCTCCCCTGATCACGTCACATAGTGGACTCTGGCCCATACTTTGAACTTGATCATAGGGTTTTTAGACATCTGAAACTGTAACTTACTACTAATATGCTCAACCAATGAACCCATAAATGCTGATGACTTGAAGGAACTTTTCTTATGAGAATAGAAGCTAAATATTGTCTCTCTCATAAGCCCCAAATTTCAATGGGGCCAAGTGAAGAGCGGGAAGCCAATTATATTTCTTCTTCTAAGATTGCTGCACCAAATATTTTGCAAAATTCTATTTTTGTGTGCGGCATAATCACTATATAGAGATATACTCGTAGCCATTCATCAACAATTAGATAATTCAATTAGTATTATTTATGAGTTTAAGAAAAATGTTTTAAAATAAATGAAGAACAACCAATAAGCATGAAGGTTGTTGCGATTGATTTGACAATGTAAATATCATTCAAATTACAGGGATATATCTTTATTTTGAAGAGTATAATAAAAATATTAGTTTTTATTTCATTAAAGTTTAATGATTTGATTGGATCATATAAAATTTGGTAGTATTTTGAATATTTAATTAGTATTTCTATAAACAATTTTATTTATGACATACGTATGAATATTTGGGGCGTTTAAATACATGCCACACAATTCTTATGCATTTGCATATTTATTACCTAAACTTTCATATACATCTGAAATGTGTTAGTATGAGTCTTGAGGAGATCCAATAGACAATGAGACAAAGAAAGTATCTTCAGTTATCTCACGGACACTCCTGAGATTCCCCAACATGGGCCAAGAATTGACAATAATATAACCAACGAGCATCACGAATGACCCTCTTGTGAATGGATGAGTTATATGCCAAATCATGTTGATTCACCCTTTGCTTGATAGTCTTGTCTCATTCTGCTGACAAAAGCTCCTCATCGTGGAATCGACAGTCAACAGACATACTAGAACACCAGACCGACAAAGCTAAGTCAATCTAGCATAGTCTTGTCAACCCGAAGATTATTAAAGGCCGATTGACAACCCTGATTCAACACAGTCGGACGAATAGGTGTTGTCGATCCAAGATCCAATGAAATCTAGAAGGTAACAGAGCCGTTGGCCTAAATACTTGAAATCTCTTATAACACTCCAGTTAAAGGAGGGACAAATATATAATTTTATATATTGTACCTCCTCTTTTATAAATAATGAAATCATTCTATGAGAAAGGGCTAATCAACAATTTAGATTACTGTTCTTTATTATGCATTTCCCTCCCTCTCTCTCTCTCTCTCATGTCTTACACACTATACCTTTGGTGTGATTCACAGATAAATTAAGATTTAAAATTTCAAATTTACATATTATTTTGTGCCGAAAACTTCACAGTGATAGAGTGATATTATAATATCATATCATTGTTCGAAGATTCATTACCCACACAGATAAAAGAAAAGTAGTAGGAGAAGACTCCAAGATTCTTTATATGAGATAACCCAGGAAAGGGAAAAAATCTCGGTGCCTAGCCCAATTAAAGTAATTAACTATAAAATAAATACCAAAAAAAGAATTATAAAACTGATAATCACATATATATAATAATAATGTAACTATAATAATTTTAACTGGGCTACAAAAAATGTAGTTGTCCATAAAAATGTGTCGGCATGAATATCGAGATAATCTAATGTGTCTCGGTTATGAACACCAAAGGACAACAAACCGGGATAGTCAAAGGACGGAAACACCAAGTGTCATTTTCTTCGGTCGGAGCTCTAAGCCGACCGAACGAAAGCATGGACGAATGAAGAAATAAAAGGCAACCAATTTGAGGGGCAATTGTTCACAATCAGCTCCCTCAGTCGATTGTGGAACTCCTCACAACAATGGCCAAAGGGCACCCCTAGAATGTCTTTCTGATCCTCTGAGAAGACCCCTTATCTAAGAAGAGATGTTTGTTAGATTACGGTGATACACCCTCTGTCAGACGACCCAAGTTCACCCTAAAGACAGAAGGGCCTCTACTAAGGATTTCATTAAGAGGGTCGACCGAAGATCTTTCAGCAGACCGAATGTTGGCCGACCAACCAAGGTTATCAACTGACCAAATGACATGATTACCAAGTCATTAGATGCCCCTCTTCAACCATTTATGTATATGAAACATTGCTAATGTTAGCTATGAATATGAGAGGATGTCAAAGTCAGTTACAAATGGGTAATGGTGTGGTAATAACTTGTAACATCCACATCGAAACATGGATAAACATGTAATTTTACACTAGATAACCCCTAAATCTACAAATATGGATCATTTCTTCAATAAAGAACTATTGAGTTTACTCCTTCAAAATATGTGTTATTACACACTTTATTTCCTCTCTCTTTGTTCCTCTCATCTATCCTACACTTTATACCTTGGTTATGATCCATAGGACATATTTGGATTCAACATCCTAAAGGTGTGGTGAGCTTGCAATCAGGCCACCAACAAAAGAGGAGCACATTACAAAGAAAAAGCTCGTATGGAAGATATGACAGTCATGGAGCATGTGAGAGAATTTGTTCAACAAAAAATCAAAGAACTTAAAGAAAAAATGGTGGGTCATATGGTGGAATTAACCTGCGTGCTACTCTAGGGAAGAGCATAAGCTCCCTAAGAATAGAACTCTTGAGAAGAAGAACTCAAACCACAAGGTCGCTGAGCGAATCAGAGGGAAGAAAAGATGGAAGACTCCGAGTACCCGGATAATACTGAGTCTATGATACACCTAAAATATATAGTCTTTATTCACACTTTTTTATATTTATTTTTGAGATATTGCTCTTTAATGAAAGATATTTGTGTGTTTTTCTTTCAGGTACAATCAAATGTATTAAAGTTTGTGAAAGGAGTGAAAAATGATCAAATTTGGAACAAAAATGAAGGTGTGAAAATGAACTGAGGCGCTTAAGCACAATATCTCATTCAGTTGCGCCAGTGAAACAGAGAAAGCTGCGCCTAAGCGCTAAGTATCTCGCGCTAGAAGTAGTTACTTGATGATTCAGTGAATTTGGATGAAATTTTGAAGAGGTGTTGGAAGCAACCCTAGGTGAAAATGTGGGAAATAGTTGGGAAATAGTTAATGGAAATAGTTAATGGACATGAAAATTCATTCAATCGGCTTTTGAAAGGAGACAACTTCTAGAAGATTCATTGAATGTGAACACATTTTGAAGAGACACCAAGACACTGTTTGGAAAATTATAAAAGAAGACTTGGATTGAAGGTCAAGAAAGGATCCATCTAGAGCCAACCACCACATGCTGCCGCCACCGCCACTTTTCCTTTTATTTTAAGTTGTAATTTGTATTGTAAGTGAAGGAAGAGATTCAAAAGAACTTCAAGACTTTGGTAGAGAGGATTTGAGACAAGTTTTTATCTTTGTAACTACATTTAGTTTTAATTTAGACTTCTTGTTTATGTGCATGATTTCTACTTTCAAACTTACGTATGGTTGTGTTTTTTTTCATGAATTCTGAGTTGTTTTCTTTATCTTTTTTCTTAAAATAATAGTGATTAAGTATTGGATGGAAGTTGTGTGAAGTATTATTGGAGGAAGTTGTGATGTTTTTAAACATTGTACTTCATTTACTTCTTGATTTGGCCAATTAAAAAGTTAATACCTGTTGTGAGAACATGTAAGATCCGAGATGGAATTGTCTTAGTCAATAAATGGTAAGAATCACATTGTATGAATAAAAATATAATTTATATGATTGAGTGCAAATAAATAAGAAAATAAACTTTGAAGTGTGTAGAATTAGAGGACTTTAGAGTGACAGACTAAAGTCCACAATTTGATTTATAGTTTTATGTTTTGATACGAAATATTAGCCCCTACGTGGAGGGAAAAGAGGAAACTCTAGAGCGAGAGCTAATATCTTATTTACCTAATCACGTCTTCAAGACTATTCAAACTGTAAATTAAGACTATTCAAACTGCAAGACTATTCAAACTGTAAATTAGCCAATGTTTTTCATAGCATCTCTAGTAAGGGTAAAGAATATTTTTGCTTCTATTTGGCATAACACAATTTGAATACTTCTACAATAGGATTCTTATACTTGTTACTGATTAATGATGAGGAAAATATATTTTATTTATATTGCCTATATCTTACAAATATCTAATTAAGTTAGTTAGTTGTTACTTTATTTTCAATTATCAAAATTACAAAATGAATCGAACTTTCATTCCTATTATAGTGTCTAGAGTTTAAGTAAGAATATTTTGTGAAGTAGAATTTGTTATCTAATTTCTCCTATTTTGTAGTTGCATATTGTAGTTTTCCCTGTGGGTTCGGTATTAGGGTATATTACTTGATAAAGATATGTATACTTACATAGTATCTCATATTTAGATATAATAAATACATTTTTTATTTTTTTTGAAGTCAAGTTTGTGCCTAGTTTTTGTTGTTGATCAAGTTTATGGCACCGTTGCAAAGTAAGAATGATAAGTAAGGAAAAATTAAGAATATAATCGTATAAATCACCTTAACATATATAAAGAGCATCGGGATCACCCCCTCTAACACAAAACTCCTAATCCTTTGATCTCTAACATTCAGCCTAAGGGACTCTAAGGAAAGGGAAATTATAAGGGTTTCGAGGAATCTTACCAATGTGACGGTTGATGACGATTTTCTTCTTGTAAGATGAAGCTTTCATCACTGTAAGAGATGTGAAGAAGCTTTCCTTTCCTCCTTCTCCAATGAAAGGAGGAAGCTCTCCTTATGAAAGGAGGTGGTGGATTTCCTTCATCCTTCTTCGCAGAGTTGATGAAGCTCTTCTTATGAAAAGAGAAGTCCTTCTTTGTCTTTCTCCAAAGCAGGAGGAAGCTTTTCTCTTTAAATGTAGCCTTAAAGAAGCTCACACACCCTCACTCAGAAAATGAGTGGTTTCAGGCTCAACATTTTTCATAACTCTTTAATGAAGTCTTCTATTCTGATTTCATCGTTGAGTCTTAGTTAATGTAGGAGTGATTTCATCAGATGAAAAAATCTTGAAGATTATCAGCGCCTTAAGCAGTTCAAAGATTAAATTAGGTCTCTTTCTTATTTATGCTTCCTCGGGATGATGGAGAACATAAGTGATGGTCACAACAGTGGAGATCTTAATAGATCTCTTTTTCAATGGTGAAAAATCCTCTTCTGATTTAATGTCAAAGTGAGGCAGAGATTCATTGTTGTCGATGATTTGAAGGTCAATTATAGAAAAAATGAAATTTTCAGGATTCATCACAAGCTTGATCGGGGACCCACCATTTATATGACTGGGGTCAAAGGCCAAATTCTTCCATTCTATGAGAGAAAATGATTTTAGGTGACATCTTTCCTATAAACAAAACATCAAGAGAGAGTAAACTGTAGAATATTTGAAAAAAAAAATTTAAATGAAATTAAGAATGAATTTAATTTTGAAAAGCTCTCGATGATGATGATGAAACATGTCCTAAAAATCCTACTCATTAAATAGAGTTTAAATGAACAGTCAAAAACATAAAGATTAAGGATATGAGACATGACCAAAAAATTAGATGAGTTTGATGGACCCATGGAAATTTGTATAAAAGGATGAATGAATTGATTATGTAACTTTACTCATTTCAAAAGATGGAGAGAAGAGTAATTCCTTAGCGGAGTAAAAATGTTGGGGGGGGGGGGGGTTTATTTTGTGCATCACCACACATAATAGAACTTTTTGGAAGACTTCTACCAAGATGATCGAGCACAACATTTTGAAGAATGACATATCTTTCCAATGGAAGAAAATATTACCTTGAAAATGAGCCTGACTACCCCCAGATGATGAAAATCTTCATAATTCTATGTAACAAGGTTTTTTTCCCTTACCTTACAACTGTAAGATAAGGTTTATTTTATATTTGGGGTCTCATTTCCTATAAGACAAACTCTCGTAGTTAATCTAGAGTTGCGAGCCCTAGAAAAAATTCTTGATTATTGTATTGAGTCAAGCTTAAAGAAGTTATCGCAGCTCTTGTGGCATTGAACTCCAAACTTCGTGGCTTACGGGCGTTATCACAGCTCATATGGCTCTTAACTCCAACCTATATAGCCTACAGACATTATCACAATTTATGTGGCTTCTAACTTAGGCCTCCACAGTCTACAGACGTTATCACAACTCATGTGACTCCTAAATCCAGCCTCTATAGCCTATAGACCTTATCTCAGCTCTTGCGGCTCCCAATTCTAGCCTATGTGGCCAATGGATGTTATCACAGTTTACACAACTCCCAAGTCTAGCCTATGTGGCCTATGGACATTATCACATTTCATGCAGCTCCTAACTCTGGCCTCTGCGGCTTATAAATATTGTCATAACTCATGTAGTTACCAACTTCGACTTCTGTAGCCTACGAATGTTATCACTGTCCATGCGGCTCCTTAATCCAACCTCTACGACCTACGAACGTTATCACAACTAATGCGACTCCCAACTCTAACCTCTACTGCTTATGAATGTTTTTACAGCTCATGCTGCTCCTAACTCTGGCCTCTGCAATCTACAAACATTATTCCAGTTCATGCAACTCCCAACTCCAATCTCTGTGGCCTACAAACATTAGCACAACTCATGCAGCTTCCAAACTTAGGCCTTTACGGCCTCTGAACGTTATTGTAACTCACCAATACAGTCTATGTGACTAACTATGACTTATATGGATCACATCTTCTATAACTCCCTCTTGTGGCCTTGTTGCTAACTCACACTTATGAAGCAACCATCTATGACCTACATGACCAAATAGTATCACAACTTTCAAATACGACCTCTAGGAGTAGCTGACACTACATCCACCGTCTACATTATTCATGGGAGGTTACTGCCTTCATAGCAATCAATTACAGTTTGTGCAGTCTTTTACAACAATTATTACTTAACTAATGTTGTACATCAATATTATAATTCAATCTTTTCTAATTGAAGAGGTGAGTGCTCATATGTACTCACTATTACATAACAAATTATTTTAATTGGGCTAGGCCCTATGATTTTTCCCCTTTATGAGGTTTTCCACGTAAAAATTATTGTCACATTCTATTTACTTCTTTTTTTATTTGTGCAGATGTTAGTTATTCGTCCAATACTAAGATGTTAAATTTTACTTCACCACCTCAAATATTCCGACACACATCAATATAATATTTACATCTTTAATATTTTATCAAGATATTATTAATATTAAGTTTCTTAAAGTGAAATATGGTGTGATAAAGTATTTAATATTAAATATTATTATGTAAATATATAAAATACAATAAAGCATTTAAAAGTAAATATGAATATTTATTTTGTAGGTAAATGTCTCAAAATATTAATATAACTTTTAAAGAGAGATACTTAAATATCAATTTTTTAGATATTGATATTCAAATATATATAAAAATATGTGGCATGTATATAAAGTTTTTATGATATGTTTATAAATCTAGTAAATTTCCCAGCCCTAAGTAATTTTCACCGCTCATTCCACGACGCTGCAGAAACTGAAAACACCAACCAGGCATTCCCGATCTCGTCCAAAACATCCCGCCGCCGTTGCCGCCGCCGCCCCTTAAACGGCGATTATGAAAACCTGGAATTTGAGTCTGTAGCATGACGCTGCCTCCTTCACGCCTCTCCGCCGGAAAACAAACCGCCGCCTTCCTATCCTCCATTCTCTCTTCCCCTCCTCCCCCCGATCTTCTCATCTTCTTCGCTGCCGCCCTTTCGTTTCTTATCATCGTCAAGAACCCCTTCTCAACCCCTCCCCCTCGCCTCAACCTCCGCCGCCGCAGCAGCCTCCCTCCTCAGGCGATGAGCCGATCCCATCCCCCGCGTTCCACCCTCGTCTTTTCCTCGCCTGAATCCCTTTCCGATTGGCTTAAACCCCGCCTACCTCCCGGCGCTCTCGCTTCCTGGGGCTCCTCCCCCGGCACTAAAACTGTCAACAATCTCTGGATCGAGCTCTCTAAGGGAGAGATCTCTCTCTTTATCTCTTCTCCTACCCGCGACTTGCAATCTGAACAACAATCTCTGGATCGAGCTCTCTAAGGGAGAGATATCTCTCTTTATCTCTTCTCCTTCCCGCGACTGGCAATCTGAAGCTGCCGCAGGGGTACAAGTAGACGATCAACCGACGATCCCTCTTCGAGCCGTTAATGTAGCTATAGTGAAAATCCGTAATCGCCGGGGCGCTCTACTTGTCGAATCCCACCAGCTCCTGTCCGACGGCACAGTTCGGCAACGAGGCCGGCCGCTGTCGGAGAAGATGAGGCCAGGGGAGACAGTGGAAGACGCTGCTTGGCGAGCGGTGGAGGAGGAGCTCGGCATCGCTGCCTCCGGCTCCGTCAAGATCGTGCCAGATTCATATGTGGTGCGGGTTGAGGAAAAGGCATCAGTTTCATACCCTGGCTTGCCCGCTCGGTATATACTCCACTCCATTGAGGCTCGAGTTGAGAGCTTGCCGGAGGAAGGGGAGTTCTCAACAGAGGAAATGGGGGAAGGCGAAGAGGAGCTGAGTATTGGATCGGCCGTGTTTGTCAGGAAGCATTTCTGGAAATGGATTGACGATTATGATGACAACAGTGGTAACTCATTAGAAAATTCTTCTGTTTGATTCATTTAATTGTCTCGCCTGGTTCCATGTTCTTCTTGCATTAGGTTTTATAGAATGAAATTGTCCTGATTACTAAGATTAGGCTTGATTGGTAGGCTTAAAAATTGAATCTTTTAAGCATATTTGTTATGTTATTTTGGCCTGCAGATTGGAAAAAAAAATTTGTTCAGGATATTCCGATACAAGTTTGATCAAGGCGGGCCACTGATGTATGAGTTTGCTTTGATACGAGTGAAAAATATAAATTTGGAAGATTTACATACATATCACTCAATTCCTATGTATTGACATATCAAACACCTAGACTTTAGTTTTTACATACATTCCAACTTATCTGTGCTTGAAAAGATGTATATCACTCTTTAAAAGCTAAAATTGTAGGTTTTTCTTAGTGCGATATGAAAAATTTTGGTGGTATAACTATAAAAGCAAAGTTTTGGTGTTTGATATGTAAATACATAGGAATTGGATGGTATGCCCGAATTGGAAGACTTACATACTTACCAAAATTTTATCGGGATATCCTACACAATTTCTTTTCCTCACTGATGTGGCAAATTTTCTTAAGATGTTCTTTCTTGGCATATGGTCTTTGTTCTAATTAATAAATGATTGAAGTGATTTAAAAAGAGTAATGTCAAAGTTCAGATATTTTTTTGCAATTTTGCTATAACAATGAATGTTGATGTGTTTTGGAAGATCCGCGGCAGTAGAGTAATAATTAGCATCTTAGCATAGTACAAGATCCAACAAACACACAGATAAAAAAAAAGTAACAGAAGGAAACACCATGATTTTTATATGGAAAACTTTGGAATGAGAAAAAAACGTAGGACCTATCCCAATCGAAGTAATCCACTGTATAATTATGAGTATATGGACGAACTCTTTTTTTGAATTAGAGAAGATGAAATTACAAAGTTGATGCACTACAGTAATTCAACAATAATAATCATATTTATATGGAGATAGTTGTCTGTTGTGAATATTGTAGATGGTGGCTATAACGTCAGCTTGTCTTAGAGGTCGTAGCTAAAAACCATGTTAGTAATTAGTCACATAGGTCATAGATGATAGCTTCATGAGCATCTGATAGCCACAAAGGCCATAATTGAAAACTGTAATGACAACAATTGGTTATTTAGGTCATAGTAGAGAACTGCAATAATATTTGTAGACCATAGATGCTGGAGTTGAGAGTTGCATGAGATGTGATTCACGTAGGTCATTAGTGGTGAGTTGAAATAACGTCCCTAGACCATAGAGGCCACAGTTTGGAGTTGCGTGAGCTATAAACCACGTAGGTTGTAGTTGGTCACATGGGTGGTAGTGGTGAGTTACATGAGTTGTGAGTCATGTAGTTCATAGCGGTGAGTTTTGATAATGTTCGTAGACTACAGATGTATTAGTGGGAGCTACCTAAGCTATGAGTTATGTATGTTATTATTGGTCACATGGGTCATAGTGATGAGTTACAATAACATCTGTAACTCACACAAGACAGAGTTGAGACCTGCATGAGCTGTGGATTGCGTATGCCGTAATTGATCACTTAGGTCATAATGGTGAGCTGCGATAATGTCCGTAGGCACCATAGGCCGGAGTTAGGCGTTGCATGAGATGTGGACCATATAGGCCGTAGTTAATTATAAAGGTCATGATTGTGAGCTGCAATAATGCCCGTAGGCCACAAAAGCTGGAGTTGGAAGCTACGTGAGTCGTGGGCCACATAAGCTGTAGTTGGTCACATAGACCGTGGTGGTGAGTTACAATAACATTTGAATGCCATAAAAATTGGAGTTAGGAGCTGCATTAATTTGTATACTGCAGGGGCTGGAGTTGGGAGTTGCATGAGCTATAAGCCAAGTAGGTCGTAGTTGTTTATGTAGGCCTTAGTGGTGAGCTCTAACAACGCCCGTATGGCGCGTAGGGTGGAGTTAGGAGCTACAATAATAGGTCCGTAGGCCATAGAGGTTGAAGATGAGATCGCATGAGTTGTGAGCCATGTAGGTTGTAGTTTGTCACGTAGGTTGTGGTAGTGAGCTACAATAATCTTTGTGTGTCACAGAGGCCGAAGTTGGGAGCTGCAATAATGTTTGTAGGTCACAAAGGTAGGAGTTGGGAGCTGCATGAGCTGTAAGTCACGTCAATAGAAGTTGGTCACGTAGGCCATGGTGGTGAACTACGATAACCTTTGTAGGCCACTAAGGCAGAAGTTGAGAGCTGTAATAATGTTCGTATGCTACAAAAGTCGAAGCTTGTAATTGCATGAGTTGTGAACCGCGTACGTGGTAGTTAGTCAAATAGTCCATGGTGGTAAGTTGCAATAACGTTCATAAGCCATAGAGGCTGACGTTGAGAGTCGCAATGACGTTTGTAGGTCGTGTAAGTCATAATGGTGTAGGTCGTGTAATAGTGTTCGTAAGCTACAAAAACCGAAGCTTGTAATTGCATGAGCTGTGAACTGCATAGGTGGTAGTTGGTCAAATAGTTCGTGGTGGTAAGTTGCAATAACGTTCATAAGCCACAGAGGCTGACGTTGAGAGTCGCAATGATGTCTGTAGGTTGTGTAAGTCATAATGGTGAGCCACAATAATTTATGCAGGCCATAGAGGCTGGAGTTGGGAGCTGCATGAGCTATGAACTATGTAGTCCATAGTTGGTGACGTAGTTTGTAATTGTGAGTCGCAATAACTTCCGTAAGCCAAAAAGGTTGGAGTAAGGGATAGAGTTGTTGTGAACCACATAGGTCGTAGGTCGCAGTAGGGAGCTGTGAGAGAACTTCAGGAATTCGTAAAAGGTCATTGTATTCTAAGTACGACAATTGTAAGCAGTTATTGTAGGTAGTACACCACACTCGAAGTGCATCATTATACCGTCTTCAGTGTGCATAGTGTATCATCTTCAGTATGCATTACTGCATCTTCTTCGAGGTGAGTTGTTACACCGTCTTCGGGGCGCGTCTTTACACCGTATTCAGAATGCACTGTTACTCCATCTTCGGGTGTGTCGTTGCACCGTATGATTCATATATATTAGCGAGCAGGGGGCATCCGACGAGCTGTTGTCGATGGTGGTTGGCAGTTGCTGGAGCAGGAAATTTTTGTCTGGTCTTCAATCCATGACACCACTGAAATTTAGCTCCTTCCTCTGGTCTAGGTCTCGTTTTTTATGAGAGAAGTAGGGCTCTATGTTTAGTCTAGGATTGGCCTCCCCTGTAAATAATGAAAGAATCTGGACCAACTCATCAGACGGTCCAGAGATATTCCCACGATCAGACACGTATTGTGAATAGTTTAGTGTCTTAATGATGTCGGAATTGAGTGACCTTGGGTTCGTTGGATTCATTTCTTCGAGACACTCAATTTGACTATAAACTTGTCAGATTTAAATTTTTTTGCCCTTTTAATTATCTACTCAAAGCTTCCAAAAGTTGTTTAATGTTATATAGGAAGATTTACATACATACCACTCAATTCTTATGTATTGACATGTCCAACACCTAGCTTCAATTGTTATATACATATCGCTTTATCTATGCATGAAAAGATATATTTCACTTTTTAAAAGTTAGAATGTGCTATTTCTTATGTGATATAAAAGATTTGGGTGGTATGAATATAAAAGGCAAAGTTGAGGTGTTCCTTTTGTAAATATATAAGAATTGGGTGTTGTATACTATATATATATATATATATGTATATATATAGAAAGAAAGAGAGAGAGAAAGAGGTATGTGAAGCATTAGCCATAATGAAGTCCATACTGTGTATACATTTGCAATTACAATTTATATAAGGGGCAGTTACATGCATATCACACAATTCTTACGTATTTACAAATTTAACACCTAATCTTTCATGTTTAAATACACAAAACTCTAATCTTTAATATCATATCGAAAACATTACAACAATTATTTTTTTTGAAAATGAAGTACACTTTTAAAAGCATAGGTTTACGACATCGAAATGTTCTTATCAAACTTTAGCTGTTAGATTTGCAAAATACAAAGAAATTTTATGGTATGTATGCAGATTTCCCTTCATATTACTCCCAAGTCATTTATTGTTGGCTTATTTTTGCAAATCCCTATTGTGACTGGTTTTTCAGAGGATTCTGCAATTCTGAGTGTTACTTGAAACTTGTGTTTTCAAAGCAGTTTTTGCAACAAGTTCTGGATTTCGCCATAGAAGTGTAGCATGTTTTAGGTCCGGATCTGCAATTTTAACCAGAAGAGACATTTACACGCATAACACATATTGTTTATGTATTTACATATCTAACAACTAAACTTCTATATTTATGTGCATAGCTCTCAAATCTGCAATATCACATAAAAAAGACAACTTTTACTTGCTTTCTATACATCTTTTCATGCATAGATTTATGACACGAGAGTATTATAAATGTAGTAAATATAAAAGTTTAGGTGTTAGATATTTAAATACATAAGAATTGTGTGGTATGTATGTAAAGTTCCCTAGTATAAATTAATGTTAAAGTCATTACTTAATTAAATCTAAGTTGGTTAATACAATCATTCTTGTCAAGTTAAAGCATATTTAACATATTAATGGTTCCTGCACATATTATATCACATAAAAAAATAACACTATTTTCATGCAATAGTATAAAACTTGTGCCAAATTTGTGAATATGAAAGTTTAAATGAGAGATGTGTAAATACATATTATTTGTGTGCTAAGTATGTAAATTTTCCTATTATTTGTGTGGTCCAAATATGATCTGAATTTTCATATGCTTGCCTGCTGACAGTAGATGTTAATTACTGTGCTGACTTGATGGATAAATTGCATTTGGTTTCTGGGTGGTAAAAAATCATTAGTGTTTAGTACTCTGAGAAATTCTTTCGATATTTACATTTATAAAATTTTGGTGTCATGAACATATGCATGAACAGTTGTATTTCACTTTTAAAAAGCTAACAAGGATGGTATTTTTAATATGATGTTTATTTTGTATCAAATTTATGCGCAAATTTTCTGTCCAGACACCTTACGTACCTCTACGTGCGGTGCAGGTTATTTTCAGTTTATTTCCGGGCTATTTTCAATATATTTTCAATAATCCAGAAATAACCCAAAAATAAACACCGCGTGTTATTTCTGGGTTATTTCAAGATTATTGAAAATAACTCAGAAATAACTTGAAAATAACTCAGGAATACTTTGCGCCGCACGTAAAGCTAAGTCAGGAGTCCGCAGAGAAATTTTTTTGCAAATTTAGGTGTTAAAAATGTAAATATATAAGAATTGTGTGGTATATATGTAAGTCCCTTCTTTCCTTTCAGCTCCTTGCGCATTGTTTTCCTCTTCCATTGATGTTGTATAACTCGCTTTGTTCCATCTGGAAGGAAAGATTAGTGGAAGTGGCCTTGCAGTTCTTTAGCCCGAAGTGAGGATTGTTGAAATGGATTAGACTTATCTTATTGAAATAAACTCTTCATAACAAATAATTTATGGTATTGACAAAGCGCTTGCGGGCTTAAAAAAGGAGAAATTATTCCATACGGAACACTTACGCGGCTTTGGGTGTGGACTTCCAGTATTATGCTACCGCGTGGGAGTTATTGAGAGGTTATTGAAGTGAAATCGCGAAGATTATTGAGAGGTTGCTGGGGTGTTATTATGAGATTATAGCAGAGGTTAAGCAGTGGTCAAAGATTATTGGAGGGTTATTGGGGTGTTTTTATGAGATTATTGCGGAGTGTAACCATGAAAGTTATTGAAAGGTTATTGCGGCGTTATTAAAATTAATGCTCCAATAGCCCCCAAATAACCCTCAATTGCCCTCCCAATAACCTCCGCTGTTTAACTTCAATGATCTCCGTGAGAGGTGACTCCGATATAACACACATGATAACATATTACTGGAGTGCGCACGTAGTGCTGCATACGTTCTCCGTATGTAATAATTCTTCTTAAAAAAGAGCCTCTTCGTAACAAATCTATTGCATTCCAAACATTTGAGAAAGTATTATGTTATGTTTTAATTAATAATGTTTTGTATCATTTGATCAAATGTGGACATTATTATCTCGATAAAAATAATGCCTTAATAGTTGATTGATGTTTATGTAGGTTTATGGGCGGCCCATCGCTTCAATAAAAACAAAATAATTGGAAAAATTATGTAGGTAGCACAAAATTATTATGTTTTTACATGTCTCACACTGAAACTTTCATATTTACAAGCATAATATTTTGGTGTTTTAAATCTATGCATGAAAACGTGTTTTTTATTTTTATTTATTTGTAATAGTATTATTTTTTATGTGATATTAAAATTTGAATGTTGCACGTAAATATGAAAGTTCAGGCGTGACATATAGGGCTGCCAAAACGGCTCGTTGTTCGCGAACAACTCGTGTTCGGCTCGTTAAGTTGCTCGTGTTCTGCTCATTCGCTAAATTAAATATTTATTCGTTCGTGTTCGGCTCGTTTTGGCTTGAAATACTACTAATCAATTATATATATATTTGATGAGTATTATTTTTAAAAAATTTAATTGACTACAAGGCTACAAAGATTTATAATCAATTAAAAGTATTAATGAAG